TATCTAATTTTGAACTGTTAACAACGTGCCTCTGTGTCACTTGTCACCAATGGACAACATGACTACATGAGTAAACAGAGGATAGGAGAGAGGAGGAGAGGGTGGGTCGGGTGGAGTGCTGTTACAGTAAGTGGATTTCTCTCCTTTAAGCAGGTGTGAAATTGATACTCCCGGATAACCGGTTGCTGACTCAAGCTGAGGTCACTGCAATATATCCTGGAAGTAAAACCCTTAGATAACTGTAGTGTTAGCAACATAATTGATCCCAACAGGCAACAATTCATTTAGCACCTGAGGTGTGGTGTTGTCTTTTTTTTTCTCCCATGGGTTATTATGCCACTGTTTCTCACTCCTGTGGAACAGATTGTGCAGAGCTCTAACCTGGTTGTTTTAGAAAAGTTGATAGAGACATAAAGCAGGTTGTACAACCTGGTAAATATTGCTGAAATAGATAAAACAAATACCTTATTATAGGTTTTAAGACAGTTCATAATGCATGCAACTTCTCTCTAGAAACAGATTCTCTATGTGAATATGACAAGATTTTAGGGCTGGCAGACTTCTGGTTCCTGTTTCTAGTTTGACCCATCATGTTTGAGCAGGCTTAGGTTGCCTGCAGGTAAACAGTCTGTATGGATAGCCAAAGAGGTGGAACATATTTACCTAAATGCATGAGCTTTTTTATTTTTCTGCATTCATATGCCGATAGCCGTCAGTAGAGATTAGCCAATATGTCGACTGCACCTCAAACAACCATTAAAAAATCGCTATTTTGTATTGTACGGAGAAACGTTCAGTGGTTTCCCAGATTACATGGGAGCTATGGAACAACGGGTGCAGTATAGGTGAGATGTGTTGTTTAACCATGTGTTGGAGAAATTTGGCCAAATACCACTGTGAATAAAGAACTATTTTATTCCATAAGCTAGTTTTTTTGAATATTTTGATGTTTTGAAAAATAAGTCATTGACTTGTATAATGTTAGGCACCATATTGATTTTTTGGGAATTTTGCAGTGGCATTATTCTGCTATTCATAGCTTCAAAATCTGCCTCCTCTGACGTCCTTCACTATCCCTAACAATACATAATGCATGTATTCCCGCATGCAACATTTTGTTAATGGGACCCCCTTGCTCACCAAACAAATCAGAGATTAACAACCTACATCAAGAGTAATTATTAAACTACAAAGAAAGCAACAGAGATCCAAACATAAAACTGTCTAATGAGTCATACATTTTTTTTCTTGTCTGTAGTAGTAAGCAATGAGGCTATGGTGGGCCATCTCTTGAGTGGCATTATCATTGAGACAGTTCACTTGGCATTGCAGTGGGGTGTGGTTGTAACTACATGAATGGTAATATGAGCATCAAGGCATATGCTGAATTAGACAGTTGTGTGCCTAGCAACTGCAAACAAATGCTTTACTGGGCTCCTACATGTCTCCAATACTCACTTATTAAACAGATGATCTTTCTGTCTTTTCCCTGTGTCTTTGCTTCTTTCTGTTTCTCTTTCTCTGTCTCTGGGTCACTCACCCTTTGTGTTCATGCATCCAAAATCCACAGCTGCTACTAAACTGAGGTCTGCTCTCTTCTGCAGTCAAGTGGTATAAATATAGGTTGCCATGGGGACACCATGACACCCAAGGGGTATGCTGGGTGGGTAGCAGGACAGAGTGTGTGTGTGTTGTGTGAGGGGAGTGGCTGAGGGTCCAGGATGTGTATCATTCATGCTGTGGTCAATACACAAAAGGAGGGGGACATTCAAGTGTGCACACACACAGAGTGGCTGTGGCTGTAATGTGCATGAGTATTTGCATGTAAGCGGGTGACTGAAGTTTTGAAGTGGTACTCATGCTCACTTTGCTGATGTTTGCACTTTCAGCTGAGGTGTCTCCAAAATATATTCCAAGTTTTCAAGTGTCCATTTAAAAAAAGTTTTGTACTTATTTATATGACATAATAGAGGTTGTATCTTTTTTAACTGTATTTTAATTGGTTGCAGTGTTATTTACTTTACAGTACTACTTCTATACTTTCTATCAGACTTTTGGATTAAGTGTTTTTCTTAAGCAGGATGAGTGAAACTCAGTTTAGATAAGACAAATGATCTTTAGGCATTGACAGGAATGAAAGCTGAATTTTGTTCAATAGAAAAATATACATTTTCTGATGCGGATATATTGTAGATGCTCAGTAGAGGTTCACAAGGCTAACAAAAAAGTTTTAGGAGGTCCCACACTCCAGCAACTGCTCTGGTTACATATTTTGTTTGTGTCTATGGTTGTGTCCTCTTACTTGCCAAAGGAAAGGTTTTGTAGTGCCAATGAAACCTTGTCTTATACAGTGTTATTATATTTAAATAAATGGGGGATATTTTTATTGTTTAATCCCTATTAAATGCCACAAAACTTTGGTTTCATCCATTGTTTATATTCTCAGAAAGCACATGATGAATGTAGGTCAGTCGGCGCAATGTTTTTGTCCAATTAATCTGCTCCAGTCCCAGTTGGTTGTCTTCATTAGAGGATAGTTACTCATTGTTTCAGTGATCCTATTGTATCACACTGACGGGATATGTTTGACTGAGGACATGTCTGGCTGTTTGTCTATGTGATGACCGTCTCTTGAACCGACTTACTGAGTAATTTCTGATGTCAGAACGTCTGTTTCTCTCGTTGTTCCATTTGTAACCTCAGCAACTTCAATCATTATGTTATGTGCTCCAATGTTCAGATGGTATCAATAGCAGACTGATGAAGGGAGCTATCAAGTGAGAAAGCAAAAGATGGTTTTCAACTTAAAACAGGCTCCTTGTGAGTGGAATTTGTATTGGTGGGGATGATGCTGACAGAGCACTATTTAGAGCACACACTAAAATATTCCGTTATTTTTTACAAGACCTTCCACAGTGCGAGCTTTTAAGGCTGTGTTTCCATGGCTGGGATAAATACAGTCCTTGACAGTTACTCCTTTCCCCAAGAAAAAAAACCCATAACATAGTCATCTCCAGAGTTTCTGATCAGTGTCATGTAATTTAACATTTTAACAAGCATCTGACTGTAACATACATTAATTTGCCTAGTAAATATATTGGCACTCTTTTATTTTTCTATAAGTACATTTTTGTTTGCACACAAACACAGTCATGCTTGCACATCCAGGCATGATTTATCATCCTGGAGGCTGTGATCAAGCATAGTTGTATTTGGGTCACAGAGACAGCAGCGTGCACAGGCCCACACTGAAAATGTGCACACGCAGACGAGTAGACACTGAGACTAATCTGTTAAAGAGGCTCACACTTAGCCAGCACATAGGATGACTGGTAGGCTGTGTATAGTCCTACGTCTTAGGCTGTCACTGTTGTTTACTATTCACTGAGAGCAAAGGTAATGAGTTTAATAGTTTGTGAACACTTAAATATTACACATATTGTATTCTATCACTGACCCACTGGGGAGTTTAGGCCTTTCAGAATGAAAGCGTAGACACCCCTAGCTGGCAACTGGAGAGAGAAATCCACTTGTAGGAACCAATGAAGCAACGCTTGCAAGCTAGTTCAGGCAACTCGAGCTGCATTGCTCTGATCATATGACATGCATCATTCTCCACAATCCTCCATCATACACACCCTCCCAATCTATTTAAGGTGCAAAGATTTCCCATCATGCTTGTCAATGTCTCTGCTGCCCCGCGTCACTTTAGAGTTACAATAGATATAGTATATAAATATTCATCCCTTTATATTAATATAAGCTATGGACAACCCATCTGCAGTATTTGCTAAATATCTTGCACTAGCTATGTATTGCGTCCCAGTGTTAGCAAAGGCTGTGTGAATAGTCAACTGGGGTAGATGTGGGTGATTTTAGTGTTACATGTGCTAACCACCAGGGTAGTATCAAGACAGTTTGGTGTTTTATATTTGATCCTAAATGTGTACTCTTATCTGTGGTGTTCTTTGTTCACTCTTGTTTTTCACTTCCAGCTGCTCACATGCTGTCCCGAAGGATTTTGTCACATGAGACTTCAGCACCTTTGGCAGTTTAAAATAATCTAGCGTCTATTTGTTTTAGATTTTTACTAAGATTCATTAGATAGAGCATTCATGTGAGTGCTATAAACACCTACATCAAAAACTATCTGTACTAATCCAATAGAGTGAAAGAAGTATATCCTTGTTAATGCTGCTTGGTCAAGTAACAAGAACCAAGTGGTTCTGAAAGGTCCATTAGTAACCTTCTCTCTAGCTCTTTGTGTGTGTGTGAGAGCCCATAGCCCATTTGTAATTCAGCCCCTGTAGCAGTTCAGCACTTACTGCCCCCTGTGCTGGAGCAGGGTTTCTTGCTTTTCGTCCGCTACCTCTCTTTCTCCTGCTCGCACTCTTCCTCTCTCTTTCGCTTGCTCATTCTAACTCTGTGGGAGACTAGCTTTTTCCTAAAGGAGCCTTTGTGTGTGCGTATATGTGTGCGTGTGTGAGAGAGAGAGAGAGAGAGAGGGAGGGAGAAGGGGGAGAGTAAAATGTTATGGTGAGACAAACAAGAGAGATGGAGAGAAGGATACTGGGGGACTGTGTTAAGCCTGGCTGAGGCCCAGTCCCTCGGTTCTACAGCGCCCAGTTCTTTTTACCTTCAAAAACATAGACTCACCAGAAAAAAAACAGAAATCTCATATATTTACTGGTCTTTAAGCTGCTCATCGTTTCTCCCCTTCTAAAGGAGTAAACATATATGTCTTAAATCCATTTTAGTCACAACAGCTTGCAGTTAATGATTAAAAATGATCCTCATTTGATGTGACTTGGTATTGTCTGTCAGTCCCATGATGTTCGTCCACTGCAAAGCATTCTCTATGTTGCATAATGAGTCAGTGACATTATATGTCCTGTGTGTAAAAGTTAGTTGATATTCGACGTAGCCGTTAATGATTAACTTGAGCCAGGTTAGAGTCCGCTCACTGTGCTATGTTCACATGCATTCTTACCTCTCTGCGAGTTACCTCGAAGGATACTGGATCGTACCGAAGCTGCGCACACATCTCAATGAAACAGACAAATCCTTGGAACTGGATTTATAAACAGTCTGATATATAACACTTTTGGAACACTTAATCAACTCAAGGACTGCTTTTGACGTGAGTGGAATGTTATCTACATTTATTATTTGTGCTGTGCAGACAGACTGGGAGTGTGTGCAGAAACATGTCTTATAGAAAAGCAATTTGTCATTGAAACAGAATGAAGAGTTTGAATTCTGTCTAATCAGCTGTTTCTGTCAGGCTAAGTACGGTTTATGTTGAACCGAGGTCAAATGTGCAGATAGCAGCATCTCGTCGATTGCATGTCATTGACATCTGGTACGTCTCCACACATACGAGCTGTGGTTTGAAGGTGGATTTGTGCTTCTGTCTTATGTTTTTCTGAGCCAACAGATGCATTTGACCTCCTAGATATTGCTGCTATGAATAGTTATTGGTGCATCAAGAATGTACTACACATGACAGATTGCAAATCAGTTGACACCTGGTAGGAGACATCCCTTTAGCATTGCTTGTTGATTAAACTGTTGTTGACTGTGTTTCCTGAGTGGGTCTTTGAATATACAAGCGTTCCTTCAGAATGATTTTTGGAAAAAAGAGTGATAATCTGACACATATATTCTAAAAGCAAGAGTAAGCATTCTTTAGAGTGATATTAGAGAAGGTGTTCTTATTAATGATTATATTAATATTTGGAGACTGGGTAAAGTTGGATAAACTGCTGCTCAAGGCCGGCTCTTCTTGACAACCAAAGTCATCATCTCAGCATGTCTGTAGACTGTAATTTTAGTGTAATCCTAGTGAAGAGAGAAACAAACTGAATGAAGTCATTGGTATTCAGTCTGCTCCCGAGGAGGTGACAGTGGGTAGTTGTTCATTAGGGCGTGCTGCTGGATCCGATTTTTATTCAGAACCGACGAAGATGCACACACTGATAAATATAAGTCCCCTAAATATGCCAGATTTTTATAATCAAAACTCCTTGGAAAATAAGTAAAATGGCAAAAACACACTGAACGTGTTTCCTAGATTTGCACCCAAATGTGATGGGTTTTTTCTTGGCCCATGTCCCATCTTTACACAAAACTTTGTGGAAATCTGTTCTGTAGATTTTGCATAATTCTGAGAAACAACCAAAAGGTTAAAAACTAACAGTGTGAACATAATTTCTCAAATAAAAAAGATGTGTTTCTAAAAAACTATAAACTCATGTATAGTGAGTGTATACATTTTATTTTTTTAGCAACACAACTTTTATACACTGGATCGGTTGATTCATGACTTGTAAACTTGAGTCTCAAGTACATGTTAAATGCATGCCTGTTGTTTACTTACGTTATTTAAAGGAAACTCTACAATGAAGGAAAAAACCTAAAAAGTGTCTGTTGTCAATGTTCAGGAGCAGAATGAAAGCACGTGCCCCACCTCCGCCACAGGCCCCTCAGCCCGCCCCACGCCACATCTTCAGAAACGCTGATGAAGGAGGCATGGAGGCCAAGGAGAACGTGCTAGGACCCATGGTGGATTTCAAGTTAACTCTGCCACATGGATACCAGACTTCTGTAACAGAGGAAGGCAGGTGAGAAGAAACGGAGGGTGACACAAGTACATGTACTCTGGTTGTATCACTTCCTTTTTTTTTCAGCGTGCTTTGTTTTTACTTTGCATTACACTTTTTGCTTATAAAACCTTCTTTCCCACAGCAAAAGTCTATTCACACTTACATTTGAATATTAATTTCTGTCAATATAACTACCGTCATTTATGTTTAGCTGCACAATCTGATTCTATGAAGTGACCTCAAGTCACCAGACAAATAGTATGAGACTTGTTTGTTGCTTCTGGGTCTGTATGGGTTGCTCTGCCAGGGAGGCCCTGTCGAGGGGTCCCATTCACAGTCTCTGCACAGGCTTTGTCCCAGAGAGTGGACAGATGAGGCGTGACCTGCTACTGTCCTCTGCCCCTAATGAGGTTCTCTCTTTTGGGGCAGAAAATCGGGGACCCCTCCCTGGTACAGAAAAAGGTGCTCGCTTAAAAGCATCCAAGTTTCTTTTTTATCATTATTGAAAGGCCAATCACTGACTGATACTTTTCACTGCTGTAGAAAAGTAAGTTAGTTTATCAGAGTATATTTATTCTCTTGAACATGTAGAACTATTATGTAACCCTTTCAGACGGCCTACATTGCTTAAAAACTTAACAAAAGGTGCTGGTTAGTACTGCAGCCAAAAGGCTCCTCTCTGCTATTGTGTAGCTTCCTCTATTTATCTGATATAAGACAATCAAACTATGGATGTCCATCAGGTGTCTCTTTTCCTTATTCCAGAGCATTTACAGAATGGAATGTGTGACATTAGATTTTAATTACAGATGTGCTGTGTTTACTGTTGTCCTTCTGACACTGCTCATTAACAATATCAGAACCTGATATTTGATAAACACACATGTCCTATAAAGGGCTGATACTAAAAAGTACAACCCCCAAACTATCAAGTGTTTATGTAAACACAGTTAAACTTGGGGAAGTGATGTCAGTAATTGTAACAACACAAACTTAATTTGCATTAAGTAGCTTTAATGTTAGATAATTCATTATTTCCACTCAGATATACAGTATATTAATAATCAGATTTAGTTGATTCTTTGTTCTAATATCTTGCTCATCTTTAGATTAATATTATATCTTGGTAAGTTATTTTATGACTGCACCAATGCATCAAATGAAAACATACATGTCTATGTCTCATGCATAATCTCAAACATATCTGCCTGTATTGTCATGTACTGTCATGTATTGTCATGATTTGGACCAAAGCTCATGGGAATGAACAATGATTGGCCTCATGCACAAACTAAAAACGTGAACCAGACATTTGAAAAGTGACATGTTTTCAGTACTACAGTGGATTACTCCTCTCAAGGATCAAGCTGTGAAACACGAAATTGGCTTAAGAGCTCTTAACACAGGACAATGTGTGTTTTGATTGCAGATTGTCGCCTTAGTTGTAGAATGTCTCCATTTGTTAGTGACCGTCAACAATAGTGTTCTTTGTAGGAGTATCTCTCTCAGATCTGTCATCTGATCTGGTTGTTCCCAGAAAATGTCTGACACTGTCTCCTGGTTTCTTTATCTGATGATTGACAGATACCACTATAGGAGGCCTCCTTACCAACTGCACCACACACACTCGGACACACAATCATGTACACAATGATCTTATTATTGCCATTATATTATGGGACGCTGTTCAAAGGTTCTGTTTAGATAAACAACACAGATAACACAGGCACATTAAATCTTCAGCATGCAATAGATGGCGTCTCTTTTTTTATTCTTCTGCAAAAGTAAAGTTGTATCTGAACACTTTTATATTGTGAACTTTTTCTTCATACACAGATTAATTTAGGTTTAGCTTTTCTGGGAGTAAAATCCTGTAATTGTAAGACAATCTGTGCAACATTTTCAAGAAATTCAGTATTTAAACAAAAGGACAACCTTTTGATTACCATTATTCTAAACTATGGCTCAGTACAATCTTTTCCTTTGTATCTATTTTTCTTTCTAAGCTCATCTGATTTGTTGTATGACGTTATGACTATTCTCTGTACCGGAGCTCAAGCTAGGCAGGCTTTGTAACCCTATCTTCTCCCTTTCCTCTGTCTCTCTTTCTCCCTCACTCCCCATCTCTCCCCTCTTTCTTCCAAACTCCCTCGCTCCCCATCTCCCTTGTCCCCCCCCACCCCCTCTTTCACTTTCTCTCTCTCCTCCCTTCCCTCGGTTTCTCCCTCTCTCAGTAAGGCGCTGATGGACCTGCTGGTCGAGCTCTGTAGCCGCTACCACCTGAACCCGGCACTGCACACACTAGAGCTGCTGTCACCCGAGGGTCACCCTCTGGGGTTCAAGCCCAACGCCTTCCTGGGCTCCCTCAACGTGGCCTGTGTCCTCATCAAGGAGAAAGTCTGGGAGGAGAAAGTGGCACGCAGACCGGCACCTAAAGTGCCAGAGGTGAGTCACAGTGGAGCCTGATTCTGTGATCTGGATGTTCTTTGGATTTTCTACGTGTCGCAGCATATTTAAAACCTGCTGAAATGAGGGGGAATATGCTTGGCCTGGATTTTTTATTTTTTTGGGTTGCAGAGACTAATATATTTCAACAAATAAGTGAACATAGAATAACACAAGTCAGATAATTAGAACTAGAAAAAGAGCCTCCAAATATGTCCATGTTTTGTTGAGTGTTTTGCATGAAGTAATGCAGACTAATGTATCCCAGGATGCCTGAGAAAGAGCTTTTCCTTTTTTATCATAATTGAACAGTCTGCATGGACCTTACCCAGAAGCCCTGTATAATATTCGTCCCTTCCCTCTCTACCTTTTAACGCTTACTGCTGGCAGAAAGCAAGGCCAGTGAAACCTGTAAGGGCCCATGCTAAGGTAGGAAGCCAGCTGGGATCAAACTGGCCAAGCATGACGTTGCCAGTTCTCCTACAGTGTTACAAGTGTGCTAATTCATCTTTTTTCTCCCCTTTATTTAATTTCTATTTGTTTATAAAGCTCTCTTGTCTGTCAACGGAGCATTAGCCTCTCTGTCTCTCCCCTTTTCTCTGGCTTCCCTCTGTTCTCCTCCTACAGTTTGAATATTTGATGAGTGCCTTACCTTTAGTTACCATGCATTATTTCTCTGCTCTTCTTAGGGCTCACTGGCTGCTCTCTCTCCCTTTGACCCTGTCTGGCCTCAGGCCAGAGACTGACACTATTTCACACTCTGCCGACAGTCATCCTGTCATGCCATCGTGTCTGCTCATCGTACCACCAGTCTCAGCAGTTAAAATGCAGACTTGAAATACTGTTTGCTTTATTCCCACTTCATTAGATTTGCTCAGATAAAACTATGTAGCCTCTAAACCTTTTACAATCCGTCCCTTGTGAGGGCTGTAATGTTTGACTTTTGTTGCTACTGTTGAGGAGGTTGCATCAACTTCATAGTAGTTATATTTAGAGGTGTTTCTAATATTTAATCTACTCTCATTATATGAATGGGTTTGACAAAAAACTCTATCCATTATGAAAGATGAATCCATCCATCCATTTTCGATGCCAAACTGGGATTTGAACCAAGAATCCTGCTGTAGGGCGACCCTGTAAAAGAAATATGATTATAATATGAGTAAAATAGAGCACAATCAACATAAGTATATTTGTATACAGTATATATTACTGGACAATTAGGAATAGAAACCATGACAAAGCAAACAGTCATATTAAACTCATTGATGTGACAGTACTATAAAACTCCAACTAATCTCAACCTTTCTAAATGGGATCTATTGATTGCAATACACTGTTTGTAGACCCTCAACAAAGCTACTCACTTTTGGGTTAAATACCTTTCGTGATGGTTTTTGATCGTGATTAATTCCTACATCTGCCAAGGTATGGTAGGTATTTCTTCCTTCTTTCAGTCTATTTAACCAATGATATATATCTACACCCTATATATCCAGACTGGTAAATATTGGCACAAGACTAAAAAAAGCCACCCCCCTTGTTTCGCTCCATCAAAGGACCATATCTCCTGACCTGTGAGTGGAAAATGCAGAATGTTCCCTGTGCTCATTCATGCTTTCAAAGGAAGGAAACCAAACTGGCTCCTCTTGTCATACGTCCATAACAATGCTGACTGTCAAACTAATGGTTAACTGTAAAATGATAAGACTTTGGCAGAAGCCTGCACTCTAAGCACATTCCAGTATTTCAGTCCCTGTTCTCTGAAGTAATACATAACTTTGCAGGCCACGTCACTTGATATACAGAAGCATCTGAAGGGCCACCAACTGAAGAGCCATTTTTTAAATTCTTTAGCCTCTTGACTCCAGAGAGAAGTGTGTGTTTTTAAAAAGGCTTATGCAGACCACTTGTGATAAAGCTCGCAGTACCCAGTGCCCCATCCGTATGTTCTTCATTACAGGACTATATGAAGTGTTGTGGTATTGACTATCTCAAGCCTATTAAATGTTAGAAATTTCGTTCAGCAACTAAACTTTAACCTTGAGTTACTCATTACTGAAGTGTCTTCACTTATTTGTCTATTTTTCTTCCTGTGCTCCTCACCTTTAACATTTGTTGCACAAGCAAATCAAAGAAATCACAGCTGTGGTTGTAAAACATTATACTGTTGTAATCTAAATATGTTAACCCTTAATAATCATACAGCAACTCGGTTTCCCTCCTCTGTCTGGTCTGTCAGCATTTTCGTTGCTGCTTAAATACTCAAATCTATTAAATGTCTGCTAGGCCCCTCAGTAGGCTCGATTATTTTTGTCTTATTTATTATATTGAGACCAACCTCTTTCCTTTTTGTCTGTCACAGAGATGTTGCTTCTAGATGACCTTCACTTTGTATACTTCCGTTTCCTGTCCACTGGAAGAAGGAGTTTTCTTTTTTAAGAAAATCCTGTTGCAGAATGAGAAAAGTGTGTCCTCATTAGCCAGTTTTTAGACACTGATGTCAATTTTTTGTTCTGTTCTCCCGTTTGTATCAGAAAACAGTGCGTTTGATGGTGAACTACCACGGCAGCCAGAAGGCAGTGGTACGGGTCAACCCGTTGGTTCCACTCCAGGCTCTGACACCAGTCATCTGTGATAAGTGTGAGTTTGACCCTGCTCATGTCCTGCTCCTGAGGGACGGCATCAGTCGCCACGAGTTACCGCTGGATAAATCTCTGACAGAGCTGGGGATAAAGGAGCTCTACGTACACGATCAAACGCTAGGTAAATGTTAACCTCTTGATTCTGTTTAAGAGATTTAAGGTCCTTAAAAGGTTATGGTGCATTTACTTTTTTTGCACTCAATGTAAAATTGACACTATTGAAACTGAGTCAAAATCATTTAGAAAATGTATGGATGTCAAATAAATGCTTGTATTATTTGGAATAATTTCCTTATAATATAGCTGTTGGATTTAATTACTTAATTAGTCAATTAATCCACCATCATCCACCTTTTGGAAAATGATCTACTGATTCAGGAGAATCGATCAGGAACTTAATATTATTCCCAAAGCAA